TGATTATATTAGATATATTAGATATATATTAGATATATGTGTAATTTTTTCATAATCTAATGTTTTACCTCCAACATTGTTCCACTTTTAGGCTCTTCAATGTGCGCTAAAACGGTGCTCGCTAATACCTCATTTATATGGAGATCAGTTGAACCCAAAATTTGCGTAACGTGAGCAATCGGAGCTCCGCCATCATCGTCACTAGGATTAAAATAGATATTCAATTCTCTTGTATTTTTCCTTTTACACTTAATTCAATTGAAAGATATAATTTCACAGTTATTGTTACTATTTACACGAAATGAATTTTTCTATTTTTTATAATGATTTTGTATTATTTAGTTTATTAAATAGATATAACTTAATACTTTTTATAATTATAGCTTCATTGTTTTTTAAACATATATTTAACATTCGAATTTATTTTTAACAAAAATGAAAATTTTTATATTACAAGAGAAATTGAAAAATTTACGCATTTAAAGTGATGTATAATCTGAGAAAATCCGCAATCGATGATTTTCGGCTGTCTAAGCTCTCGTTTCTTAAGCAATCTAACAAAAATTGCACCCAATCGCCATCACCGCTCACATTTGTCAACGTTTGGCCTTTGGCAATCAAACCGAGTATTGCTGGTAAGGTCGCGAGAAATTCCATACCATCTTCGTAGATATACTTAAAATAAAAGTAAATGTTATTTTTCGTTAATTAATGTATAATATCAATATAATCAATTGATGAAAATTTTTTACAATAGAAATGCGTTTTTATATATAGAAAACCATATCATTCTTTCTCTGCTATAATTAGCTCAATTATACAAATTCATAAGTGAAATCACATGTACTGTACTTTTAGAAATGAAAATTTAATATTTTGAATCAATATTTTTTGCTATTTATATCTATAATTTTATTCATATTTTTTAAATGAGACATAATTACGTTTTTATTTTTATTATGTGTTTTATTAGAAAGAAAACATTTCGATTATTATTATCTTCAATATTAATTTTGTAAGTAATTCTTCGAAGGTTTTTTTTTTATTTATTCAGTAAATTTTTATAATGTGTCACAACATATCTTCAATTACCTCCCAATAAGTATAAGGCATGGCACCGTGCTTTTTAGCTTCTCTCGTCTGTTTGCTGATGTTGAAAATTGTGAGCGCGATCGACAATCTATGCAAGGGTGTAATTGTTTCGGGCATTGAACGTAGAACGGAAGCTATTGTTTCGCCGCGTGGTCCCGACCACCATTCTGTACATTTTTTACGTCGTAACGTCCAGTCGGCGATCAATGAAGCAGTTTGCTGCTGTGTAGGAACGTCACCAGTTAGGAGCAACCAAAATACAGCCTCTGCGCTTGGCGAGTTTCCTTCGCGAGGCAGTAGAGCGATCACTTCCGGTATAGTTAATCCACGGTATACGATCTAGAGAAGTTTTATTTTTAACGTTAAAGTCTCTCTCTCTTTCTCTCTCTCTTTCTCTCTCTCTCTCTCTCTCTCTCTCTCTCTCTCTCTCTCAAAGAAGAAAATTGTGTAACCTATGAGTCACAAACATTGTTTGAAATTTTAACAATTTAATATTTGATATATTTTTATGAAATTTAAAGTTTTATAAAAATGAAAAGTTTAATAAATAAGAATTGTATTAAAAAATATAGATATTAAAGATAATATATACTTTATCTTTCAAATGTGTGCGTATGTAAAAGATGATATAGTTTTATAAATTTGTTAAACTTAACTTTTCGATCAAAGTTATGAACATATACAATATATATTCTTAATTTTTAAATTTAATTTATCTCAAATATGATTGTACGCTGAAACATTCGGACATTAACCACAATCGATGTGAGACACTAATAATAAAAGAAACTGAAACATTCCTATATATAAAATAATCCTCCCTAAATTATTTCGATAAAGAACTTATTGTGAAAAATATTATCTCAGCCAGAATATGAGATAATATTTTAATAATGTTTTAGTTCCTTATATTATTAGTGTCTCACATCGTGTTGTAGTTAATATTTGAATGTTTCAGCATACAATCATATTTGAGATAATTAAATTAAAAAATTAAGAATATTTATTGTATTCATAATATCTAACTTTGAGCGAAAAGTTTAACAAATTTATAAAACTATATCATCTTTTACATATGCACACATTTGAAAAATAAAGTATATATTATCTTTAATATCTATATTTTTTAATATATCATCATTTATTTCATTAATGTATCTATAATTATTCCTTTAATAATTTAAAAATATCTTGTCTCTTAATGATTAAACATTTTATGATTATTACACCATGTTTAGGATCAAGTTCCGAGGTTTCCTTGACGATAGTTTTTACATCGTTTAATCCTGTGTACAAGTTTTCGACCGTGATTTGACTGACGACACTTGGACCGAAGTAAAGTCGAAAGTTTCTCAGAAGATCGTGATGCACGGGAATCTTCTCGCAAAGGGCTTCCTTTAGATTTGTGCTCATACTGGGTTCTCCTCTCGTTTTGCTCACCTTCGGATGACAGATTCTATATTTATTGTATTTTTCGGAAGACTGTTTATATCTCAAGTAAATTAAGCGGCACTGTTTTGATAGGATTCGCGAATTTTGCGAATTAGTCATTCGCGCGATTTCACGTACTTTGATAAATTAGTTCCAACCAGTACGTGTCGTTCACTCGTTCCAAAGTTGATCTTTCTGTCGGAAAATTGCGCGATGCAACTTCTTCTCCTCTCCCGCAGAGCGAATAGATAGACTTTTTCACACCGAAGTCCTTTCGACAGACGTAACATCTTCCGTAATAATTTATTCAATCAAATCCAAGTTAACTGTTACGCTACGTGGAAAGTATGTAAGATGAAGTAATGATAACTTCTTTTGTAATAATTTGAATTTATGTTTTATATCAAATTAAACGGAGAATTTTTCATATTATATATTTTATATTAAATTATCTTAGAAACATTTTGACACATTCAGTTCAAAGAAAAATCAGAAGCGAGACTTGAATGCGTTTACTTCAAGCAGTCTTCTTCTGTTTAAGAAGACTTCTATGAGCATCATTGAAAAATAAAAATAAATAACCCAAAAACGATGTTAAAGTATAATATCGTAATTTATTAAAAAGTGACTTTTTGTAATTACTTTGAAATTTTTCTAACGTCATTCTAATGTCATGATGAGTTAGGTTCTGCTCGACAAAAAGGAATCCACAAAAATTAACAAAAAATCAAAATGACTTAATTTTAATTCTTAACGTCAATAAACAGTCGAACAAATCATTATTTCGACTTTCATGATGTTAAAATAAAATCATTTTGACTTTCTCTTGACTTGATGTTCCTTTCTATAGTAATAAACAGTTAGTCAACGATGAGTCATTAATCAGAATGACTGATGAAATTTCATTTTTTACAATTAAACATTTTTTATTTAAGTTACTTTATGATTGATTTATAATTGACTAATCATAGAATCATTTTCTCCGAGAACTATTATTCTTCTGATTGGCTGACATATTATGACGTAATAGTCTAAAATGATTTATTCTAATGTAAGTTCCCTAAGATTTATGACTTATAATTCTAACTTGTCTCTAGTATGATATAAGTAGTGACTAAACGACTTATTGTAGAAAGCCCATAAAGTTTCGCGAGGACGTGTCAGCTTTCAACGAATTAAAAATTAAAATAAAGTAAGCGAGAACGTGTAGAAAAAAAATGATATGCCACGTGCTACTGTCTCACTGGCGTTTTTATTGTGAATGTCGTGCATGTGCATACAAAATAAGGGATTATGTATCACTCTGCCCGTCGTTCCCATGCTATCGTACTCGCGCCGGTTACAAAACGATTAACTTGCGTTTGTGCAAATTGAAATTGAGCGATCTTACGTATCTTTTATGCCCTTGTTGTATATATATATATATATATATATATATATATGTGATACTCTTTAACATGTGCATTCGAGCGTTCGAATGTAACAGATAATAATGTCGATGAGACGCTCTCTCTATTGCTGGTGTCACTGATGTGTGGCGCGTGACAGTATTAACGCGTCGCGATGAGTCACGGGGATGAATCTTATCTCGAGAAGGACCTAATGTAGAAATTACGTGCACATAGCATCCTTCGTAGAGTACATATAAACGGTAACAACGCTAACACACGATATATGCCAGTATAATCTATGTATACAACATGTCGATAATATATTATAACGATTACACGTTTCTCACGATCGACTGACCGTTAGATTGATAACCAATTAACTCTCTTAACAGCATAGTAAAATATATGTATATGTATATGTACTATTGCTTCGTTCTCACCGAATACCTACCTACTGCGTGAATATAATTAGGCCGAACGCGGGAAAGGGTTGAGCTGAGAGGAGTTCCGCGCTGCATTTCGCTACCTTCTTGTCTCGTTTAATTATCGAAGTTTTTTTTTTCTAATTTTTATGCTATTTAATAGTCCTCTGAGCATTCTAACGCGTGTTAACTTCTATAGACGATCTCATTTCCGTCCAGAGATCTACATAACTCATTGAAAATTGGTATACACATGTAAAAGTAATTTTATGTACGTTTGCGTAACTTTACTAAAATTGATTTGTCTAGGAAATTATAATTATCATCGTTATAATATTGTAATATTACTATATATTAGTATCGTAATCGACCTACACATAAAGGAAAATTGTTTAAATATGCAAATGCGATTAACATGAATACAAAATTTGAATACTGCAGGAAGAGACCTTTCCGTTGAATCGACGGGATTTCACCCGCTAAATTATGCGCGAAATCTCCGATATATATAATTCGGCGATTAAATCGCATGTCGCAGCGAATTCGCCGTTGGCGTAAAACTTGATTATTATTGTCGCTTATTTCGAAACTTGTTATTTCACTCGTCCACTCGCTCGCGTAATTGTGCACGTTAGCACTCTTGTACAGTCTTAGAAGAGTCACCCCCGATGTACGACGTATTCTACCACTCTTGACTCTCGTGCCTCGAGTGACATGCTCTTCGAGTTGTTATTACTCTAGTTTCATTGCTCGAGGGCAAGTACGATACATGATATATGACGGTGCATTGTATGATCGACTGCCTCGTAAGGGAAGCGATTTGGTCTTAATGTCAAAGAAGAATACATCTCTCGCTGGTATCGTGCTGATGGGATCGCATTGGTTGCGTGGCCGCGGGTGACGGCGAGTTCGGCCTACCTTCTATTGCCTGTATGCTCTTCATCAGTTCCCGAAACACCTGTCAATCAAAAGATATCGAAAAGTTGCTGTAGTCTTTCTAACTCGCAATCTCTTTTAATAGGCAATGCAAATAATTGTTCTACAATTGAAGTTATGCAGATTGATTGTGAATTTTGAAGAAATGGACTGAATCAGGAAAAGACCGGAAGTCTTCAAGGAAACATGCTTTTGAAATGTGGTTTGTTGCAACAATTCTTCGTGTACATGTTAAACAGAAACCCAAATTTTAATTTTAACAACCTTTAGTTTTTTTTTTAATTATAAGTATACAAATAAGTATACAAATTTTGAAGTTATTGAATTGATTAATTACTTGGGAAGATGATAGATCTCATTTATTGTCAATTTTTTAAAAAACTAAGTTGTATCTGAAGTTAGAATTTGGAATTCGTATAAAGTATAAACATAAAACGCTACCTTTTGCAATAAACTGCATTTCAAAAGCGCGTTTCTACTTTTGGTCCTCCCCTTAAAATTTAAAAATGCAACAAATTCTAAAAATGTAAAAAAAAATTTTACGAAAATTCTAAAAAACGGGAAATTCCGAGTTTATTTTCAACGATAAGCTCTTCCCGATGAATTTTTCGACGTCGATATTTCCTCGGTGAGAATTTCAGTAATCTCGTTTCAATACTCGTAATTTTGGTATTAAATGTTAAATATGAACGGTAATTGAAGTGCACATTAAAATTTTAAAGGAGTTAAATTAATCTTAATACGAATGAGACACAGATTGGCAGCGGGCAGATTGATAAATAATGTATATCGCGCACCTGCACTACGCGACAGTTAAATCTGGCACTGCACTCGACGTAACTACATCTCCAGTGTTTTCGGACGAGGTTCACGATGTCCCTGTACCTGGTCCCGGAAGCGACGGTCTGTGACAGTTCGTCCTGCTTGTTCCCGACCACCAGCAAAGGTACGCCTCTCATGTCACGCGCCTCATAGATTTGCTCGCGCAACGTTCTAATATACTGAACACAATTTCAATCGGAAATTAAAGAAAAATATACCGGCGCTTTCACATTTAGCCTTTCACGCGTTGGGTCACTTGTAGTAGCACATTAAAAAAATTTTATCTTTGGTTAAGTAAAACATTAAATTATTTAAGACACCGACTGTAAAATTAGATATAAGACACATTTCACAATAAATTGTTGTTTAAACTTTAATAAAAAAAAAATATTGTAATAAACTGATAGATATTATTATAAAATATAAAACAAATTAAAATTTTAAGGCTTTACTAAAGCGAACTAAATCGATGGACATGTTGTGAATACATAAAACTATTGTCTAAAAATATAAATAAAGAAGATGTGTTGGCTTATATTGGCATTTTTATTATATTCGAAAATATAAAAAATGATTTATAAAATAAAAAAATAATTAAAGTTAAGTATTATCTTGTGTCGGTTTGCATTGAGCTTAAATTTTTATTAATTTTATAATTAAAGTAGCTTTTATAATTATAGCTTTTTATTAAAAAAAAATTAGTTATGAAAGGGTTAATTAAAAATTTCATAAATTATTTTAAATCATTCAATATTATACTTTGTTACGTTGAGAAGCTGTATATATAGGCTATCTTAGTAATTTTAATGTTAAAAATTAGAATATTTTTAAACAAAATAAATACGAAGGAAGATTCTTCTCTTGCAGTCGCTAATTACTTATTGTATCATTTCATTTCTTGTTTAATAATGTTATCAACATCACGGTTTTTCATTTATACTTTTGACTTATTAGCAAAATCGATTTATCATCATTTAACTTGCGCTACGTTTTGTCCTCGAGAGATCACCTTTCGTCATTCAGACAAACATCCACATAATCAAACTTTTATGCCAGCAACTTTGATGCGATTTCAAGTCGAAAGTTGTGACGGTTTTCGCGAGAAGAGAAAAGGCTTGCAAGAAAAACTTAACAAAAAAGATATAAGCGTGAGCTAGGTTTACCGTGTTCCTGACGTTCTTTCTGAAGTTAAAGTTCTGTCCTGCAAGTGGCCTGCTCGCAATTTATCGCGATTTTAACATTAAATTTCAATTGTACGTACCTGAAACGTGTCCTGATTACTGAGATCAAATACAAGCACGTACGCTGTTGCACTCCGCAGTCCATAATAACGAAAGTCCGTCCATTCCAAGTGCGAACTGACCGGGAAATACGGAATGGTGGGCAAATCGGTGATCTTCAATTCGTATAATCGATCGGCCAGCACTACGCTCGGATAAAATGTCTCCCGCCTCTCGGTCGGTCTATACTCCTCGGAGAATTCGCTCCAGACGAATTGCTGGAAGCGTAAATAAATATCGTAAATAAATATTCGTAAAAATAATTACGGATTCAGAGCCTACTTTCTAAATTCTTTGGAGTGGAATCTCATTCTATCATTCTAAAGAGTAAAAATTGAATCAGTCTTGAAAAAGAGTGGCTCAATTTTCAATCTTTAAAAGTAAAACTTTTCTTTTCAGAGAGATATTATTATTACACAGAAAGAACGTTTTATTGAAGTATTTAAAATTTTACTGAAGTATTTAACTTTGCTGAAGTATTTAAAATTTTAGTTACTCTCTAAATCTTTTGAAGTGAAATCTCCAAAAGATTGAAAAGCAGTCTTGAAAAAAGAGTGATAATATTTTCACTCTTAAACAAGAGTGGCAGATTTTCATTCCTTAGGAATGAGATTTCATTCTTTTGAAGCAAGATTCCTTTTTTAAAATTAAAATCATTCTAAATTAAGGAATGAAATCTCTTTCCAAAAAAGCAATGAAATTTCATTTCTTTGAAGTGGATTTCACTCCAAAAGGATGAAATCTTAAAAAAGAGAAAAATCTGCCAAAAATCTGCGTTGAAGAGTAAAAAAGTTTTCACTGTTTTTTCAAGACTAGCTCAATTTTTATTCCAAGAGATTTAGATAGTAAATATATAGATCTAAAAACAAAAAATTTTGTTGGATCATCAAAATAATAGTATGTAGGATTTTCAAACATGACATGCAATATTGCAAAAAGTTTTGACATTCCAGCAACCAACTTGAACGTCCTACATAATTATTTTGATAACCCAATAAAATTATTCTGTGTCTGTATTTAATTAATTTATCTAGTTAACAAATCTGTATCTAGATACTTTATATACTTTAATTTTTCTAGATACTTTAGTGAAATCTTTCCTTTTGTGTACGATCGATTGAAAGTTCTCCCGCGCAAGCAGGTATTTGAACTTAAATTTCATCTATTAAAAGAAATGTCAAAAGTGACTTGGCTTTCTTAGGATATTCGTTGTGCCTTTTAATTTCCTCGGAGAGTCGATAATCGTCGTCATCGATAAGCGGAAACTATTATCGGAAATGAACGGAGCGTCCGAGTGACTCGTTTCCACGATTTGTTTCCTTTCCTGCTTTGAAACAAAAATTCTGACAAAGATTTCCGTCCATCGCACGTCATACGAACTGCTTTTTCATATAAGATATTTGCAAAGTTATCGGGGAAGTTCTTCGTTTTTTGTCAGATTAATAAAGGTTACATCGTTTAAATTTAAGACTGATGTAACATATTTATAATATCCAAATTTTAAATTATGTTAATTAAATGTCTCTATATTGAGGTAATTAGATCTCTAAAATTTCGAAACTGCACGTTTAATATTCAAAAGATTAATTGAGAGATTCGCAGGGCAAAGAGTAGTTCCACGTAAAATACATAAAAGTAACATCTAATTGAGAGATGCAATCATGTCTATTAACCTTTAAACGCCTCACTATAGGAACAACATACTGATGTACATGACGTACCCATTCAACTTGATTATTTATTCTATAATTTCTATAAAAATGAACAAATATAAGAAATTTTTTTTAATCAAACCGCCAGACATTAAATAACATAACAAATTAACAAACAAATGTATATATTTTTATTAATAAAAAAATTACAGGCGGTGGAAAGATCTTTAAAAAGATAAGCTAGATATACCGAAAAAGCATAAGGGTTAAATCTTACTCTGATTATACTCGTCTTTCCTACACCGGATGCACCTAGGAAGATAACCTTAACACGATCTAATGTGTCCGCAGGGCTATCTTCCTCTTTTGAATTTCCTTCAGCGCCCTCGTAAGTTATTGTATTTCCGCCTCTTCTTTCTAAATAATCGAGGTCCAGCTCTGCGGAAGAGATGACAAAATTATGCAACACACAAATAATATATACGATGAGAACTTGTTGCTCATATATGAGGAGCAATTTTATTTCATAATTATACTCGGTTCCTGGAACTAGGAATATTGCGATGAGAATCTCGTTCCGAAAATTCTCGTGATATATACGCTAAAGTTTTGTAAATTAGATACAATTTTGATGAAACATCGGAGGCATGCAATACCGTATGATTAACCAAAGTTATTCGAACTATTCAAAGTACAAGAACTATATTTTATACAAAGAGCTTCGTTATATTGAATACGAAAAGAAAGAATTTGCTGAAGTATTTTGCTGAAAAATTTAACTAGATATAGATCTAAATAATTTGATTGGACCATCTAAATAATTACGTAGGAAACTCAAATATGATGAGTAAAGAAAGATACTAAATTTGACATTTAGTAACTAATTCGAGCGTAGAACGCTTAGCTTGAATTATCTTAATGATTCAACAAATTTTTAGATATCTAACTATATTTTTAGATATTTTAACAAAACTATGCTTTCTGTGAATTTTTTATCGATTTATGTGGATTAAATCCAGAAGCTATAAAAAATATTATAAACGAAACGAGTTATCGTTACTCAAGAAGAATTGGAGGAGGGAGAAGGACTACGCAATTAACATTTATAAATATTCCAGTCCAATTAATATTCACGAAAAGTATCAGAAAATTATTATGCTTTCTGTTCTTTTCGCGGATGTAATTTTTAATGTGACAATATATGCGAAGGGAAACGCTGTGGAATAAATGACCGATGGAATAAATGAATTAATTAATGATATTCAAATGTGAATCCATTTCAGAACGAACTTTACGCATTAGTCAAGTTGGAAGATCGCTTCGTGAAATGCGAAAGCTCATTCAAGTAAAGAAATTCGAGATATTCTTGACATTTGTTTCGCCGACTTTGTAGCAAGTTGCTCTAGTCATGAAGATATATTATTCATGAAGCTTAGAGAATATTTTTAGGTGGCACCCATGCCATCCATAAGTCATAATACACCTTCTGCACGCGAATTTATTTGTCTTTGTAAATGTTTTGAATCATAAATTTGCTTTATGATCACGTATGCAAGAACGGAACAACGTTTGCGGTATCCGCGGATTGAAAGAATTTAATTTAATTATATTTTAATTTAAAAAATAAGTGAAATGTTAATTGGAGGCGAGGATGCATTACACGCGAAAGTGCATGTACAGAGTGATCTCTGTGATTTATGAAATTTCAAATAAAACATCTATATGTGATTATATTTGTGTACAAATTGGTTGAAAGCTATACTCGCAATATTGCTTTTGCATCGCGTAACAAATCGACATGTAATTATGGATGCTTATATGAGATTTTATCCCGCTCTCTTGAACACCGATGCGCCAGTTCACACTGGCGTATAAATAAAAGTTGACGAATGCGCTTTCTAATGGAAATCAATTCCTAATTTATGATTAAATAATCGAATCAATTAAGAAGATTAAACATCCTTATAATAAGACATGCATTACACTGCAAAATGCTTAATAAAAGGTAATTATATTTAAAACGGGAGGAAAAAATATATTTTTATAAATAGAACAAGAAAATTGAGAAAATTTTTAAATAAAATGGATATCGAGCTTTGATAATGCTTTTTTTTAAATAAAAATAAAAATGTCTCACATGCATTCTGTACGATGAACTTTTATCAGAACACATCACGTGTATTGACAAGCGAATCTCGTTTACCCAAAAGCCGTTTATTCGCATGTAAGATCGAGCTTGATGGGAACTCATTGTCCTTCGCGCGTTCCATCAGATTTAATTGTAATTAGAACATTGCACTTGCGACGAACATTCGAAGTGCACTTATCACCGCGCTCCGACGACCTTCGTGGTCGAAGTTCGCCGATCGACTGACGCGACTCCGGAGTACTGTCTCTTCTAACCAGGGATCAACGACCATATAGATATATATTTTGCACATACATATATATATATATATATATATGTATGTGCAGAGAATTATAATCCTGGTTTACCAAGCATTTAAAACATATACGTTTTAAATTTTATATATAGTTAGTTATGTAACTAAATAATACATAAAATATAAGTAATTACTTATAAGCTTTTACAATTGCATAAATAACATATTCATAAGGTGATAAAATATAATCCGCAAACAATTACAGGGTTGCTACAGACCTAGAAAACCAGGAAAACCGGAAAAAGTCAGGGGAAAATATAAAAAAGTCTGGAATTTCGAAATTTGCTCACAATGTTCTTAAACTGCTCCTATTTCAATTGTTACAATTTTTTAAATATTATATCTGACGTTTATAGTTCAAAACTTGCGCACTTTAAATGATTTTAACTTAAATAATTCAAATTTATATTTTATTCAGTAATTTTATTTGATCTCTCTTTTTTATAACTGCATTTTTTTTTCAAAACTAATTTTTTTTTTGCTGGCTTGAATTTGTATCCAAAATTTTACTATGCGTGCTAAGCTTTTTTGTGTTTTTAATAATATAGCTTTCCTATAATCCTTGAATCTAAATGTTAAAATTTATTTTATATTAGTCATGGAAAATTTTCCATTTTCATTTGGAAAAAGGGAATTTTAAAATTCATTTTTTGTGTCAACCCTGAATTAGAATGTATTACGATTTACAGTTAACTTTATTGGTAAGTACACTTCAATTATTTGCGTATTATATTTTATCGTCTTATAAATATATTATTTACATACTAATAACCAAAATTCATATAGACAATTTACTTATATTTCATTTATTTTTGAAGTCACAAAATTATTCTTATTTTAATTAATATATTATAT